AGCTTTTTCCGTAACACTCTCGTCCAACTCTTAATTTTCCTACTTTTTTTGAAGCCTCTCTCTGAATACACAGATTTTCGCATTCTTCTCCACTTTGCACTATACTAAACTATCACTTCCATTACTCGTCTAAAACTAGATAACCCAAAACTATCATGGGGTGTGCTTTCAAGGCCTTGTCCTTTGGTGCCCTTGGGATTAACCCCACCTCCGACTTCCATTGGCTGCTTTCATAGTCCGCCGGCCGGCGAACTATGAAAGCAGCGTGCCGGCGGAGATAGTGCTAGGGGGGTGGAGGGAGGCAGACAGTGTTAGGCAAATAGTCCACGCTCCTTCGAAGGTTGTTTATTTCAGCCCCTCGAAGGGGCGTGGACTGTTTGCCTATCTGTCTGCCTCCCCCCCGGCCGGCGGACTATGAAAGCAGCCATTCAGGATCGTAGTAGCATTTTGAGTGCTTATATGGCCTATACAATGACTTGCGGTGGCCAGCCAAAAGTCAGTGCTTTCATCCTCCCAAACGAGTCTTGAACCAATCTGCCAACGCAGGACTAAAGACTTGGTAGGCATAAACAGATGCCGAGCCGGGATTCTATCCGTCGACCGCGTGTGTGATATAGCACTTTTTACCATTACCTTACATCCTCTCCAAATAGCGGTTAAGGAAGGCGAAACAACAACATCAAACAAACCATTACTGAAAGTAGTACAGGGACGAAGAGCAATCCGTGCAAGACCCCAATGCCGACGACAGCAAATACGGTCATCACAAATGTCCGAACGATGTACGACGGAACAAGGGCTAACAGAGACACGCCCACGACAGTCGACATGGCCGCTTGCAGGATCGGTTCTGTCATCACCACAAGACACTTCTGAATGATGATATTTCGGTTCTGGTTTCTCCTTAGGGACCAGCTTTATAGGAACATACCTTTAGTCGGTCGTTGCGCTGAACGATGAAGTGGAAGGTGGTGTGAGTGACATAATCCACTGAAATGGCCATTGGAAGGTCGAAGACGGGATAAAGTATCTTTGATGTTTTCCCACCTGAGAATCCAATACTCATCACTATGGTGATCATGGAGATGATATCCAATCTAATGCCAGCAGCCGACAGTGCTCCAACAACACCCAGGTTTATGGACAGAATCGACACAGCAATGCAGGTGGCTGAAAGCGGCCTAGGCACCTGAATGCCATTTAGTTAGCAGGATTGAGTGAAGGGGCGCTTAGTACTTCAGCTTTCGTGGGTCTCTCACCATAAGCACGCAGATGACCAACATCGTAAGGATCGCGGTGACTACGTTGGTAATCACACCCGTGACAGTAGTCAGTTGTTGATCGACGAGCAAAAAGCTGGAATGGGCAGGTTCAGTTTGACAAGTTGTACTCCCTGTACTCATCATTTTTCAAAATTTGGATCGAAGTGATGGCCAAGAGGAGGGAGTTTATTTTCCAGCCCTACTTGAAGATAGAGAAACAATCTTTCAGAAGTCGCCGGCTGTTCTCCAACATTCATTTGGAAGAATGTTGTAATCGTATCTCCCTGCAGGCTTTCTTTCGAAACTGATCAATTTCGTTTTATTTTCTTTTCCCGATCTCTCAAAATAGGCGGCGATTTGACAGCATGTAGGCGAAGTAAATAGACTGCAAGTTGCCTCTCATCCCTTAGGCTACCTGGATCGAAACCCTTACTAGTCATAGCAGTACCACTTCAATCCTCAAACCTCTACGTAGTGATGGGGAACTGTAGCTACCTTTGTGTCACCAATGTTTGTGAAAAGTGCTCAGTGCCCTATTTCGACTGATCTTGAGTTTGTTGGGAAGAAGTGGGACATCAAATTGGGCGCATTCATCAATTTATCAGCTTGAAGGGCTTTGCTCATCTCCAGTTTTCTCCACGACAGTACTGTATTGTTCCCTTATACCGCTCTCCCGTTCAGAGCTAGACAAAAGACTTTTTCGAGGACACCTTTCTTTGTGAACTAGGATTCTGTTTCCGTGATTTTCCAGCCTGTCCCCTTTCTTTCCAACAAGTCCTCTGTAGCAGACCTCGTATCATAGACGAAACCGTCGAATCCGCTATCCAACATGGTCTTCCGAAGAAGTTCAGCTCGCGGCTTCTCGTTTACTGCTCCCAATGAACGGATTCTCATTAACATCTTCGTGGCTCGTATATCGCCACCTGGATTGAAGCTGAAACGTGAGGAATAGGTGAACCAGAAATTGAGTGCAGCAAATGACAGCGAGGCTACCTGATATCGCTTCTGAATTGTGGTTTTGAAGCGGACAACGAAAGAAGGGCAGAGTTGAAAGCGAGGCTGGTGAAGGTTTTCCCGTCGTGAAGCTTCTCGAACTCCTCCAACCAAAACTCTCCTTTCGATACAAACGAGGAGCTGAATTTGCAGATTGACAGACAGAGGTCAAAAGTTTTTTACACGAATTCTCTCTCTGTTAGAGATCCTCTAAGAAGTTCTGGAAAAGAGGAAACAGTGGCGGGTTAGCATCTTTATAAAATGGGGAGCGGAAGGAAGTTGTGAGGGCACTTGAGATGCTTGGGCCTATACGGTGACCTGCGAGCGCCAATTCAGAAATGGCTTAGGAAACTAGGGAGGATTCGAGCCACATAGGATCATGCAAAGCTCCTCTATTGAACCACTCAGTTCCCAGTTGCACAATGAAACCTAAGCGTGATCTTTTGGACCTGGGCGGGTATCGATCCGGCATCAATGACGTTGCTTGACGGCATTACACCACCTCTCCCCTTCCTGCACCACATTACAGCAAGAATGTTAAGTTGGAGGTATGATATGGAAATGACCAAACTCGATTGAGAAAATGACTCAAAAGTTGAGCACCTGGAAAGGTCATCGTATAACGACAACAATTTCCTTCTTTCCTGAGGATTGGTCAGCGACCAATTCTGAAGACGAACAACAGCAAAACAGTAGGTGCCGTACTCATTAAACAGCCGTTCCTCGGCCTTCAAAAACTCCGCCAAGTATGAACCAGACGGAGCCAGCAGCTTAATATCGAGTCCCAGAGGTAGCTCTGAAAATAGAAACATGACGAAATCAGTTTTTTTCGAATTTCTTCAACGATTCACATTTGAGGAGCTCAAATTCTTCGAGATAAGCCGTGAACTCGACTTATATTCAAAGATTTCAAGGAATGGGAATTTATGGAAAGCCAAGTTCCATAGGATGGCTTGGCACTTATCAATTGCTATGAGCAAAAAAGGATGGTACATATATGGGACCTAGGTGGAGTATTGACACTAAAAATGGGGTTCTGG